GCCAATGGAGTAAGAAAATTTTACTTGGTAAGATTCTTGAAATAAGAAAAAATTGAGTCAAATCAAGTATTTCAAGGGCAGACATTTTTGACTTAATTTGAGTCAAATTTTCAGACTAACAAGACAAATAATCTTACACATTCTGAAAACAAGATTATTATTCTTACACAATCAGTTCTTGTTTAATAAATCAGTCTCAAAACAAGATCAAAAAGACTTTTTGGCTGGATATAAGATTTTAAAACTTGGTTAAGTGGACAGTTTTTGCAGTATTCAAGGAGTAGGGTTTTAATTTTTATTTCTTTTCAAACAAAACAGAACTTATCTAGCGAATGGAACGGAGATTACAAAAAAAAATGTAATTCATAGATTTACGAAACAGATCCACCTCCACCACCTCGCAACTTGTGCTGGGCTTGACACCAGCGAGAAGCTGGCCAATTCTCCCAGCATGGCTGCCATTAGTTTCCATCAGTGCCTTGTGGGTTTTCCATCCGCTCCCCCACCACGGTGAAAGCCAGTGGGTGCTGGGTTGGGCTGCCACACGCCTGCTGGGAAGCGATGACGCTAATAAAGAGGCGAGTCTGAGCGGCTGTGGAGAGCCTTTCTGAACCGCGCGACTGTGAAGCCCGAAAGATGAAGAAGACTGGGAGCCGGGAGAGCCTGGATGGTGAGGATGAAGAGTTGAAACAGAAAACACACAGCCTGAGTGATCCCCGGCGGTTCTGCTTCAGCTCGCATCAGGGCGGCTCCCTGCTATAGTTATTTCCATTCTGGGTGGAAGGAAGACATCGCTTGAAAGATTTGGGACGAGGTGGGGAGAGGATGGTTTTGGTGGGGATTCCCAAGGTGTTCAGCCTTTCCCTGAATATGTCCATATCACCATGACAACTGGGGCCAGCAGGGGTTCAGGGATGCACTCACACCTGAAAAAAAAAAACCCCAGAACTAATCATTTGCATTTTGCACACAACCCAGTTTGTAAAACTAGTTCATGCAGAGAACAGACGTGATGAAATCTGCTTTAATGCTTGGCACAAGATGGAGATTTGAATCTGATTTTTAAAAAAAGCAGAACTGCAGACGATGAAGTCCAGTTCAACATTACTCAATCGAACACATTGACAAGATGCTCTTTAAATGTGTTAACAAGATTATGTCTGTTTCCAAGTGTATTCAGTCAGACTGTTTAGGTGTACTATAGTGTAACAAGTATTGATCCTAGCTTATGGTTTTCCATATTAAATACTTAAATTAAGATGTTTTTTTTATCTGCTCCCTCATCTTGGCAGGGTTTCAGAAGAAAGTGTGGAGTTCTTTGAGCGTATGAATGCCATCCTGCAGAAACAGGAGAACATGATGCGGGCAGCCCAGGCTGAGGTAACCCCCGACCCAACTTGCACCTATCCATCTGTTACACACTTGAAACATGCACAGTTTGTGTAGCAGGCAGGCCTGAGAGCTGTCACTCAGCCCACCAGCGTGACCACTGTGACGTCCGTAGACAGAAGGAGTGGGTTAAACTGGGTGCTCAGAGGACTGGGAGCTCAGCTGTTACGAGCTGCTGTCCATAGATGTGTCGAGTCTTTACTGCCAGAGAGAAAGAGGCAGGACTGATGAGAGCACRTTGGGGCTTTGAACCCAGGCTGCTTTATGGTGGAACTGTAAATGTACCCAAGTGTTAATCTAGGTCAAAACCCATCAAATGTATATACATTTAGGATTACTTCAAATGGGAACTATTTTCTATCTTATTAGTGTTTGTGCCACAAATCTTGACTCTTTTTTTCCTCTTGACATTTTTTATCTTCACTACAGTATAATCTGAAAGGTGTCAAACCCCTGTACTGTAGCTTCAAAGAGCCACTTTTAATGAACTTTGACGTTTATATATTTAACTTCAACTGAACACAAAACGTCACATTCCTCATCTCGTTGCTATGGCTGAGCATCACTAACAAATCATAACTGAGCTCTATGTGGTATTTTGTGCAGTAGTCTCATTCATAAGACAGTTCAATCTGGGATTGACGTGTTCTGCCCTCCTCGGATCCAGGTTTATTATAGATAACTAAAACTAACTAAATAACAAAAACTGAAATTGAAAAAAAATTTAGTTAACTGAAATAAATAAAAAATGTAATAAAATGGGAAAAAACGATAACTAATTAAAACTGTATTTTTTTTTTTACAAAACTAACTAAAACTAACTAAATAACAAAAACTGAAATTGAAAAAAAATT